CATGTCAAATCGCGTGCAAATTTGTTTGAATTGGTTTTCCCCATACTCCTATGTATATGTACAGTGGCTCACAGCTTATTTCAACCAGTGCTCAAGTAAAACTTTAAATCGCTGTATTTGCCAAATTAAGAGAGATATTGGAACACTTTAAACGCAGATTCATAGCTCTGTATTTTAACTTTTATTTCATGAATTCCTAAATTTTTAAATATTTTTGTAATATTTATTTTGATTTTAAGACTCAAATAACAGGTAAAATGAATGCCACAGCTTATTTCAACCAGCCCTTAAAAGTATATATTTTTTAAAGATTAAGAACTAAAAATGATAAAATAATATTTTGTATGACCAGCCTTCGTGTAAACAATCATTTTAAGTCTTTTTGCGATTGATTCGACCAATTTTTAAGTCACTTGGGGACTCATTTTGGCCCCTTCTTCGAGTAATGCGTTTTTTAGGTCCGTTTGACGCTTTCGAATTTTTCTGTCCAATATAGCCCATCAATTATCAATAATATTATTATCTGGAGACCAGGCTGATGGTTTCATGATATGCGGGCAATTTTAAATGAGCCATATCGGCAGAGTTCCCGATGTGTGCTTGGGATGATTGTCCTGATAAAATCGGAATTTATCACGAATTCCCAGATTTTCTCCACTTTGCACCAAAATGGACTTCAATATGCTTAAATTAAGAGTTTTTTTCATTGTTGTGTCCACCAAATCCAAAATCCCGGCTCAAGCTGAAGACATACAGGCCCAAACCATGACGATCCCACCACCATGCTTGCGGTTCAAATGCACATAGTATCAAAAGTGAAGCTTTAAGTCGCTTTGGAGCATTTGAATAAGGATTCCAGCTTCTGGAACACTGTAATACTTTCCGACGAGTCAAAATTTAATATTTTTGGATCTGATGGGGCTTCTTATGCTTGGCGAAAACCAAAGATAGAGCTGCATACAAAATATTTAAAGGCAATGGTCAAGCCTGGTGGTGGGTTTGGGCCTGTATGTCGGCAGCTTGAGCCGGGATTTTGGATTTGGTGGACACAACAATGAAAAAAACTCTTAATTTAAGCATATTGAAGTCCATTTTGGTGCAAAGTGGAGAAAATCTGGGAATTCGTGATAAATTCCGATTTTATCAGGACAATCATCCCAAGCACACATCGGGAACTCTGCAGATATGGCTCATTTAAAATTGCCCGCATATCATGAAACCATCAGCCTGGTCTCCAGATAATAATATTATTGATAATTGATGGGCTATATTGGACAGAAAAATTCGAAAGCGTCAAACGGACCTAAAAAACGCATTACTCGAAGAAGGGGCCAAAATGAGTCCCCAAGTGACTTAAAAATTGGTCGAATCAATCGCAAAAAGACTTAAAATGATTGTTTACACGAAGGCTGGTCATACAAAATATTATTTTATCATTTTTAGTTCTTAATCTTTAAAAAATATATACTTTTAAGGGCTGGTTGAAATAAGCTGTGGCATTCATTTTACCTGTTATTTGAGTCTTAAAATCAAAATAAATATTACAAAAATATTTAAAAATTTAGGAATTCATTAAATAAAAGTTAAAATACAGAGCTATAAATCTGCGTTTAAAGTGTTCCAATATCTCTCTTAATTTGGCAAATACAGCGACTTAAAGTTTTACTTGAGCACTGGTTGAAATAAGCTGTGAGCCACTGTATATCCTACACTCAAAATAAAATATTTGTTTGCGCTAGGTAAAAAAAAATTCAATGGTAATTTCGCAGTTGGGTTGTTTTATTAATTGGAACTCGATATTATATGAATTGCCGATGTAAGGGATGTGTTTGAGATTTAGTTTTAGTTTTTACACTAATATTATTAAAAATGAACAGGTTTTCTTCGTGTAACACCCCCTTTAATCAAATACGTAAACCCCAGGAGGCCCAAAGGCTTTATCGTGTCCATAAGAACTTTTTGTTGTTTACACTAAAGTGGTGAAATTCGCGGAAAAGCAAAACAAAAAAGAAAACAGCCAATGAAAAAAAAACTTATTCAAGTCATGTAATTTCGGAACGTCCTTTGATATCGTACAAACACTTGTTTTGTATGCGTTCTGTCCAAATTTGTTTTTTTTCACCATTTCATTTTATTTACTCTCAGCGACACGTAGACGCCCATATTTATTGCATAATTTTCAGAATAACTCCCATTCGCACACACATGACCCGAACATTGATTGTGTAAATAAAGAAACGGAAAATTATGCCCATCACTTCAATAACTTTGTGATTTTTGGTTCCTTCGTTTCTTCGTTTCCAAACTTATAATTGTTTAAAAACGCATGTATTATTAGAGTAAATAATATGTAGTAATTTCCTTTTTCAATTATTTTTCTTTATTACTTATCTTATGTATTCGCATACAGCGAATATATCTGAATAGCCATATAAAGAACGAAGTAAGCGGGACCAAAACGATATTGGCTTTTATTTAAAACTCCAATAGAATTTGGACGATTGTTTTTATTCAAAACATTTTAAAAAACTATAATAACAACACCAACTAAATACTTTTATGTATAAGTCTGCAACGTATGAAAGATAATGCGTTGAAATACACAACGGTAAAATATGGAAAGAGGAATTAGATGAAAAAAATAAAAATTAAGCTTGAATTTAGTGCTTGTAATTAACTTTTTATATATTTACCGAAGTATAAGTTGTAAGAGGCGTATTCTAATATTACAACCAAAAATATACAGTGGATCGCAGCTTATTTCGTGCAGTTACCTAAAAAAAGTTCAAGTCGTTATTCCAGCTAAACTAAGAAAGATAACAGAAAAATTTAAATGCAGTATTTTAAAAGGGAATATTAACTTGTTTATTAAATTAAAACGATTTCCTTAATCATAAAAACAAAATAGTTATTAAATAAAAACAAAATGTGCAGGCTTTTTTCATGCCGCAGCTTATTTCGTGCAGTTCATTCTTCTTAACTTATTATTTGTAATTTAAAAGCTAATATTTGGTATGTCCTCTTTTCTGGTTCAGGACAGCTTTAAGACGATTTCCCAAGGAAGAAACTAACTTTTAAGTGGTTTCCACTGGAATTTTTGGCCATTCTTCCATAAGAACACTTTACATGTCGTTTTTGTTCGAAATCTTCCTCTTCCTTATAGCGATGTCCAATATTTCCCATAAATTTTTGATCACATTTAAGTCTGGAGACTGTGCTGGCGTTATGACGGCATGAGGGCAGTTTCAGACATGATAAACCTCCACAATTCCTGCTGAATGCTTCGGATCGTTGTCCTGGTAAAATCGAAATCGATCGCGTATGCCCAGTTTTTCAGCAGTTTGGAGCAGGTTTTCCTTATGAATCTGTAGGTACATCTTGGCCATCCATGATAACTTCAAAAAAATTGAGGTTGCCCCGCCAGAAGCTGCCATACAGGCCCAAACTATAACATGACCCCCGCCATGCTTGACTGTAGCTTTTAAAAGTTTGTTTTCGAGCTCTTTATTAGGTCGCCGCCAAACATATTAAAGCAAAAAGGTTACATTTTGACTCGTCTGCAAATAACACGTCATTCCAAAACGAAATCGGAAGAAGAATATGCTCCCTTGTTCCTAATACAGAGCTGGAAAGCAAACTCCTATAAGCTACGGTCAAGCATGGAGGGGGTCATGTTATGGTTTGGGCCTGTATGGCAGCTTCTGGCGGGGCAACCTCGATTTTTTTGAAGTTATCATGGATGGCCAAGATGTACCTACAGATTCATAAGGAAAACCTGCTCCAAACTGCTGAAAAACTGGGCATACGCGATCGATTTCGATTTTACCAGGACAACGATCCGAAGCATTCAGCAGGAATTGTGGAGGTTTATCATGTCTGAAACTGCCCTCATGCCGTCATAACGCCAGCACAGTCTCCAGACTTAAATGTGATCAAAAATTTATGGGAAATATTGGACATCGCTATAAGGAAGAGGAAGATTTCGAACAAAAACGACATGTAAAGTGTTCTTATGGAAGAATGGCCAAAATTCCAGTGGAAACCACTTAAAAGTTAGTTTCTTCCTTGGGAAATCGTCTTAAAGCTGTCCTGAACCAGAAATGAGGACATACCAAATATTAGCTTTTAAATTACAAATAATAAGTTAAGAAGAATGAACTGCACGAAATAAGCTGCGGCATGAAAAAAGCCTGCACATTTTGTTTTTATTTAATAACTATTTTGTTTTTACGATTAAGGAAATCGTTTTAATTTAATAAACAAGTTAATATTTCCTTTTAAAATACTGCATTTAAATTTTTCTGTTATCTTTCTTAGTTTAGCTGGAATAACGACTTGAACTTTTTTTAGGTAACTGCACGAAATAAGCTGCGATCCACTGTACGTCATGGTCCCTGTTCCTAAATATGTTCTTGCGAATTTTTAGCAACAAAAAATCATCGATTAGTCAAAAACTGCAAAACAACATTTTTAAATACAATACAATTAAAAATAATTTCGAAAATAAAAATATTAGTGTTGTCTTTTAGGAATAAAACAATTACTTAAGAATTATCAAGAAATAAAAACCAATGGCTTAGGCTTATTTGCAATTTGAATAATAAGAGAACAAATATTTAGGCTTACTTCTTCTTCCAATCATTTTTTTTTCGTAGAAAGAAGAATTTATTAACCAACATTTTTTTCCATAGCTGTGTTGGCCTTCTTGTTGTACTTATATTAGCTCTTTTCTTAGATCATTTTTTTGTTCTTCCAATTAAACGCATGTGATACAAAATTGATGTATCATTACAATAAGTTTTGTTTTAAAAATTTCATTTCCACCCAATATACATTTTATCTGGAAAAAATAAAAGCGGCTACCTTATATACTTATCGAACGCTTTTAGCTGATCTTGTACTCCAAAGGTTAAGTTACATTAACTATATAATATCTCTTTTGGTAGAACTTAATGATCCCAATACATTTTCAGAGTTATTTAACCCCAGAAACAACAATATACAGTCTAACAAAAATAACCTTTATTTATTTAAGAATCAAATCTCTATAACAAGAGTTCGTTCTTACATATATCTTCTATGAACTAGAAAATAGGACTACAAATTGCCTGGTATTATATATGGATATTATACAGTACGTTTAAAGAAAGTAAAACAAGATCTATTGGAGTGTAATACGTCAATGAGCCTGAAGTCTAATTTCGTGCGCGTCCTCTTCCTCGGCCACCATTTCCACCTTCATGCTTTCGGCCAGCATTACGGCGTTCTGGTGCAGTTTTGTCTCCTCGTGCTGACGCATATGGTGCAGCAAGCGGAAGTCTTTGTGACAATAATCGCATCGATACAGTTTGATATCTGTGTGGATAAGCTCGTGCTTGGTCAGCGAGTGAGCGTACGCGAATGCTTTGTCGCACACCTTGCACACGTAAGGCTTGATGCCACGGTGAACACTAAATGAAAAATAGGGATATTATATTATAAACAGAAAAACAATAAATAAATTACAAAAAAGTCGTTTTTCAGAAAAAAAATTGCGTAAAAAATTGACTTTTTTCTAGCAGACTACTTACTTCTCATGGGATTTCAGGACACTCTCGTAGAAGAATTGTCGGCTGCAGAAGCTGCACTTGTAGGGCTTGCTGCCTGTGTGCGAGTACATGTGCTTTCGCAGCTGCTCACGCACCTGGAACTTTGCATCGCACAATCTGTAAAGGTAAGTAAATGTTATCTATGGTGGTGAAAATGATTTTGTAAGTTATTACAAACAAAAGGGAAAACTGTTCTTGTCCTACATTTCTATAAAGAAGTTTTAATAATGGGTGTCCAAAATTATGATTTGGTGGCCAGACAACATTTTAAAACTGCTCAGATCATTTTGACTGTGGTATGCTTACCAAGATTATTTGATACCCGATTTTCGATATGTAGTGTTGACATTTTTGAAGATTTTTATTACGTTTGGGTAAAACAGGATTCTGTTGTTTTTAAAATTTTTAGTGAAAGTCAAATAGGTTCCTGAGATACTAAGGCTAATGTCAGAGTAAGAAGCCGAAGCAACGCTATGCAAATAGAGAGGGGTTTTTAAAGGCAATCACTCAAAAAGAATCAGAGTCCAATATAGTATCTGTTCTTGTATCGCATCGCTTCTCGGGCCTACTATGACATCAGCATAAAATGCTTGACTTTTGGTTAGAATTTGTTTGGAACACATTAATAAATCATTCTTTGAGGTAAGGAATTGGCAATCAATAAGAGTTATTATAAATTTTGTAAAAGATGGTCGGACTTACTCGCACGCATACTGGCAGATGGCATCGTGGCGCCGCCGGTGTTCCATCATCCGGCCACGCTTTTCGTAAAAGTTGCCGCACACGTCGCAGATGTAGCCGCCCTTCTCGGTGCCGTCGGATGTGGTCAGGGAGTTGAGCCCGCGGCGAACCCGTCCGCGCCGGGCCTTCAGACTAGCCTTGGCCGCCTCTTGGAGCGCCAGCTGCTGGGAGGGTGTCTCCTCGTATTGCTTTTCAGCCTCGAGAACGATCTCCGCCTGGTCGGGGTTCATGTCGATTGTGTAGTTATCTTCTAGATACTCGATGGTGTCGCCTAAGCACTCCTGTTGTTCGCTGGTCTCCACTTCCAGATACTCCTCCTGCACCTTATCGTCGTGATGATCTCCTTCCCCAGTGGTGCTCTCCTCCAGGATATACATCTCCTCGTCGCAGTGCGTCTGCGAGCCGTCCTCCTCTTTGATCAACATATCATCGGATTCGTCCAGAAGGCCCAATTCCCGGCAGTAGTCCTCGATCTCGCCCTGCTTTCGGAGAGCCTTCTCGCGGAACTGATAGGCCATGTTAAGTTCCACCTTGCAGGACTTGCAGATGCTATCTGGGATGTTCTCCTTGTCGTTTAGCTAAGCGGACAAGATCCTTGATCATCAGTTTGACTGCATATAGATCGGGGATGCACTTACCTTGCTGTACGAAACCCCCAAAAGTTGGATCAACATCTCGTTTGGCGTTTCCTCGCCCTCCTCGCGGGATTCGTCCAGGCGCTGCAGCCGCGCACAGGGCTCCAGGCACACTCGGCACGTCTGTGGGGTAAGTTCGCCGCGCATTCTTGCTTCCTACTTGCAATTTAATTAAAAGAACCGCTCGCGCAGTATTTTAGTGTTAAAATTTGTGTTGCTAAAGTGTTGTGTAAAGCGACTGAAAAAAAGAAACGCAGGCATCGCCATTTTCTTACCAGGGATGGACAGCGTCAACGCTCACGCACGGTGGTTCATTTCTCTGGTTCCGTGCAGGAGGTTTGGAACTTCAAAATAATTGTAAATACATGATTATATATTGTTCTATTTAAACTCACTCGTATACGTGCTATGAAAAATATAATTGAAATTATTGAACTTGCAACTTACTATCATAAGTTAAACTAACATTGTACAATAATAAATTCAAATCGGCTGATTACAGTCTAACGATTTAACTAACCTATAAAATAAAATTCGGACTTTTTTGTGCATAATTAGCTATGGAGACTCATTAAAATTTAAATACATAAATGCCATTAAGTACATTTTAATTGCAAATTAAGTGAAATGAAAATGTATTTCAAATTAAATTGTTTTTATTTTTGTTTAGAGAATCTCATTAATTAATTAAAGAAGAAAATATAGATTTATATAAACCGCTACTTTATGATTTTATATATTGGCTTTTCGAGCAATTAAATAAAAAACAGCTATGAGCTAGTTCGTAGCTTCAGACTGTGCCGATAACGATAACAGAAAGATCATCTATATAAAAGATTAATTTTTGCACGCTTATAATAAAATAGCCATTTCTATATCGATTTAATAAAAATTAAGACTAAATAAATTATTTACTTATGGGACTTTCCGAATAAAACTACATGTTTACATCCGAAAGCCCTGCCAAAAATAGTCCATTTCCATCCACCACGATCTGGCAACGCCTCATATTTTTTTTTGAGACGCAGAACGCAAGATATTTCTTATCTGTCTTGTAAAAAAAATGGATTATTTCATTTCGATCGGTGCGTATCTCGGAAAATCGCATGCTCGTTGGCAGTAGAGAAGGCCAGGAACCTTCCACGCCCCACTCCCCGTGCACTTCGCCCGAGGGGAAAATGGAAAAGCAACATTATCTGGCATCCGTATCTTCGTCCGTCGCAGCCGTCAAAATGTTCGTCGCGCCAGTTATCGACTCGACAATCTCCATCTCCTAAAGCACACACACTCAATCGCACGCAGGCCAGCACACATACGTAATCTGTCAGCGGAAGCGCCCTTAATCTTGGCCAGAAACCACAACAAAATCAAGAGCAGCAGCGAAGGATCAGCAGCAGGTGGAGGGAAACGGGGGCGCCGCTAGCACTAGCACCTAACATGTCCGAGAAGCACGGCCAGCTGGGTGCGCAGTGGACGAAATCAGCGGCGCCAGCAGCATCATCACAAGCCTCCAATTCCATCCCCCAACCTCTACCGATTCCCGTAGCGCTTCCCCTCCAGAAACCCAATGCAAATCCCTATGGCAACTGCATCCTGCAGCCAGCGGACATTGTATATAACGCAACCCGGTTTCAAGGACCTGCTATCCATGCTAAGGGGTCGCCCTTGACCATTACGCCCGTGGGCACTGGTGGAGGAGCTCCGGCCGCCGCCCAGATCTCGCCCACGAGCCACACCCATGTACCTGTACCTGTTGCCACGCCCAGCGGCTTTGTTCCGCCTCCTTTTCCCATTGCCGCCGGGGGCAATGTCACCCCAAATCGCTTTGCCACGGCAGCAGGAACTGCTGTTGCGGAACTGGCCTTTGCTAATGCCTTTACCTTTAACACGGCCCAACACCTGGGTTTGGGTAAAATCATGCATGCCATGGGAGGAGCCACAGCTGGAGGGTCAGCAGTACCCGTACCAGTCACCACAAATTCAGCAGTACCTGCTCCTTCGGCTCCCACAATAACTGGGCAAAGGCATCCGAGTGACGGAGTGCCAGCGGCCACTGGAGTGATCAACTCAACCATTGCTGAGAATGTTATGAATGCTTTGAGCAACTCCAACTCATCTTCTGTGCCCAATGATGAGAAAATGCGAAGGGTACAGCAGGTGATTGAGGGCAGCTTGGAGTGAGTATTGTTAAACAAAATAATAAACCATGTTTTTTTGCTAACTTATCTGGCTTTCCTATTTTTTAGCGACAATGCCAAGCTGCAGATTTCGCAGATCCTTGAGCGTGTCTCGGGTTTGAAGCCCATTGAGAAGCTATTCCTTTATCTTAGATTGCCCGGCGAGTGTGCAGACACAGATCCGCTTAGGCAGCCACAAAATCCGCTGGGAACGCGCTCGGAGATTAACCACACCATCAATTGGGTGCGTTCCCATCTTGAGCACGATGCACAGGTGTCGATACCGAAGCAGGATGTGTACAACGATTACATGTGAGTTTTTTGGTTTTACTCTTAAGACCGGTTTCCTGTATAGAGTTTGGTTTTTGATAAGAAAGTTTAAAAAAATTATTTAATACAAAGCTTCAAAAGTAATTTTTTTTAGTCTTTTTAAGAAAATTAATCTATCAATTTCTTACTTCGACTGTAAAAATAATTGGTTTAAAATAGTAATAGGTACTTTGCACTGCCCAAACTTTAGACCTGCTGTATTCGAAACAGTATTAATAAAATTGTTCTTTTAAATCTTCGTCCAGAGCTTATTGCGAACGCCTCAGCATCAAACCTCTTTCCACGGCGGATTTCGGCAAAGTAATGAAGCAGGTCTTTCCCGGCGTGCGTCCTCGGAGACTAGGAACGCGTGGTAACTCCCGGTACTGCTACGCAGCCATGAGAAAGACCACAAAGCTGACGCCTCCACAATTACCGCAACTCTGCAAGACCGAGCAGATCATTGGTGGTGATCCCACTGCTGACGTTAGTCAGCTGAATAAAACCTCGAGTTTGGGTGGAATGTCGTCGTCAGGGGGCGATTCGGAATGCTGGGTTGTGGTGCGCAGCTGGGCAGAAAAGTTGCTGAACACCAAGCTAGAAAGCGTGGCGGATCTAAGCTCCCGCATCAGGAGCAACAATGCCACAGTTTCGGCAAAAAAGTACACGCCCCGGGAGCCCAAGGAAAAGAGAGTTTTAGCAGTAAGTTGAAGAAAGTTCCCGAACAATAGATCCGTAATTGTATCCCTGTTTATAGGACATTGGACCACTGAAGAAGCGACGCAAAAAGAAACGCAAGGGCTCCACATCTTCGGAATCTAGCTGCAATCAATTAGTTACTGGTCAGGACGCCGGCAGCAGCCAAGATGCCACCGACGAACAGCTACTGAAAATCAAGCAGGAGATCATAGACTCACCCATTCAGCTCCAGCAACCTGCTATAGGCTACCTACAACAGGTGACGCCTATGAACCTGGCTACAGATCAGCGAAGCAGTGGCGCTGTGCGCAACCTCACGCCCAAAATCATGGAAATGGGCTCACCAGCCGTTTTGCTCACCCAGCAGGAGCCCTCGCCCACGGGCATAGTCATCAAGGATGAAGTTGAGGACTACACCTCAAACATTTTCTGCAAGAAGGTTTTGAAGGCGCAGCAGACGAAAGGATTCTGGGCCAATTCTCCTAGCAGTGGGACAACGGGAGCTGGCGGTCTTCTGGTACCCCCAACAATCACTACCACCTCGGCCACACCCCCGCCGCCGAACTCTGGCAATTCCCCAGTTCCTGGGCCAGGACTTTCCATGGGCCCACCCTCGCTGATGATGAACTCCAGTTCAGTGAGCCCGTCGAGCAGCGTGGACACGACGCCCAAGGTAGCCTCCCGAAACCAAATGATGATCCTGAGGGCCAAGCGGTTAATGGCTGCGGAAAATGCCGCATTGGCAGCCGCTGCCGAAGACTCCGGACTGCCAGAGAACCTGGGTTTGCCCAGAGAGCGTGTGATTAGCATCTGCAACATGGACAAGCATGAGCTAGACGACTACTTTCTGCCTGGCGAGGACGAGGAGAACTCCGAGGAGCCCGACACCGAGCTGCTCCAATATTTTCAGATGGGAGACGCTGAGGAAAAACAACTGAATTCCTTGGATGCTGCCGAACAGAACAGGAATCCACAAGAGCCAACGACGATGGGCTCTGCACCGGAGGCGATGCCCGCTCCCGGCCGCGGAGCAGCATCCGTCGTCGCCGCAGCAGCAGCGATGCTGGCGCCGGTGCCAGCGTCTTCGATGCTGCCCGGACAGGCCGGAGTGGGTTCTGCCTCAGCGTCTCTGGCCCTAATGTCAAAAAAGCATCAACAGCAGCACCAACTTCAGAACCTGCAACAGCAATTGCAGCGTTCTAAGCAGCTGCCCAATATCAACAACAACAAGAGAAAGATCAGCCTGAGCAACGCCTCCAGCAACGGTAGCAACAAGAACTGCATTTTCCTGCCCATTTCACCAAACATAAACGGATCCAATGGAACAGTGGCGACCGCTGCCGCACAAGGGACGGCAAATCCCAGCCAAAATTGCTTCGCTAGCCCGGGTCTGACCAGGATGAGGCAAAGACCCAACTTGTTGAGCAAGCAGCAATCCCTAGACTGCGACAACCGAGATCCCATGATCGGAGCTCATCGCAAGGGTCGAGGCTATGTGTACAGCTATCCGACGAGCACGTCGGCCTCCGCTCCACCGAGTCCTTCGCTTCTCCAACAATGGGTGGGTGGCAATTGGTCGTTAAGTGGCGGGAATAACGCTAGTTTTGCCGACAACAGCCAAAGTGCCGACCCGCTAGTAAACCAAAATTCAATGGACCTGGAGACAAGTCTGGCGCTCACGGGAGGAAATGAACTCGACACTTCGGAGATGCAGCGCTCACAATCGGTGCCACTGTCTCAATTGCAACGAAGGAGCAGCCAACAGTCACCAAGCCTACAATTCTACTCTGAGAACAGCAATAGCCAGCAGTCGGCGCCACTTAAAGATACAGGATTGATCTACGAGGATGTGGACGTTGCCTCTCTGATCTCGCCCAGTTTCAACAACAAGTTTAATAGCATTACGCAGCAGACGGCCACCACGTGCAGCTCCTCGGCGGGCTCATCCTCGGGCTATAGCAGCGGCGGCTCTGCGGGAATTGTTTCGCGATCGGTGCCCTCCACTCCGCTGCCACACCAGCACCAAAGCAGCCTAACATCCTTGAACGGAGGGAGCGGAGTAACAGCCAGCGGAGGAGGTATTCCGGGAATCGGAAATGGAGGCAGCTGCGGAACAGGAAATGGCTTCTTCACCATCTCGGACTTGTTTAACTGGGAAGGATCTACGGGCAATGGTAGCCAGGTTGCTTACAGTGCACATACTTACGGTACTCGGAATCCACTGGACATTTCCAAATCAATGCCAACGACGCCGATTGCAACGCAACGTTTTCGGTACAGTCCTGCTGAGGTGCACCGTGATTTCCTCATTAATGGCAATACCATCGATAGTTTAACTTCATCCGCTTTTGGAGCTGTAGGGGGAGCCACGGATCCTGTATCAGCTCTGAGCACGGACACTCTGATCGATGACAGTGCCCCCAGCAGCGCCGATGTGGTGGAGGCGATGATCGGTGTTACAGACATACTCGACGACTTTTAGAATTTGCATGAAGAGAAAGCTCAGGAGGATATTGAAATACCCGAGCGGCAGGCGCCGGATGAAGTGCAGGAAAATGAGGTCCAAGCAGCTGCAAAGGAGGACTCTAATGTAATGGCCTGTCTTTTGCAGCATGTGGACCAGTTGTAGAGCCTTCTATCATCCGTCTCTTGCTGTGCTCATGTCTCGTTACTTTTTTGTGTCTTATCTGTTCCTGTTCAGAGTATATCAATCACTTTTCTATAACATATTTTCACAGCAAAAGCTAATTTTAAACAAATCAATTTTTAACGAAATTTTTAAGAAAAGTCTTTTTGTACAGAGCTAATACGGCTCAAGCCAATTTTTATCAACTGAGATTCAATATACATAGAAAACAGAACAGAACCGTGAAAACCTCCTCCACAAACGAGCTTTCTCTTCATGCCACTCGCAAGCCAAGAAAAATCCAACAAAATCCTATCTTCCCTCTGTCTAAATTAATCAACAGCTTAACTGTGCCTCTAAGTGGTTTCATGAAGTGTCCAACAACATTAGAGGTTTGAGTTTAAGCCGACTTCTGTAATATAACGTCCCCCCTCAGGCTCTCGTTGTATGTATGCTATTGGCATATTGTTATAATTACTAAACATTAACATTAACACACTGATAGCGAAGGTAGGGCAGCAAATCGGTTTCCGCTTGCTGTATGTAGTTGAATAGTTTTATCGTTGAACAACATTACAAATGAAACGAACTTAAAGTCTGAATGAAGGAAACGTGTGCAGCGGTTTTAAAAACGAAAACAAATTTACAAAATGTAACTGTAAACGAATGTACATCTAGAACTATAGAACAAAACCTCGGCGCTCGACGAGTTTGTCTTCCTGCGACCCTCGATTGTACATATATAAGTATATATATTTATAGAACGATTTCCACGCGGATTTTATAGGGGTCGCAGGGAAACCAGTCTCAGTTCAAAATTGTCAAATTTAAATGTGTGTTTGTATGGTGTTGTAAGGTATTGAGAATAACGAGCTTCGTCAATTGTTCATTAATTCATTGGCCTCCTGACGTGAATCTTCGATTTTACTAACCCAGCCCCGATCTAGATACTATGTTTGTTACGGTATAAATTTATCTGTCTATCTTAAACGCTTTTGATTCTTCGATTAGTTGTAAGTGTTTGTTTGTTATACCTGTTTATAATTTTTGTTTAATTCGCGCTTTCTCGGTCCGACCTGCGTGTAGTACTTTAGTGAGCTATAAATGGATTTTGTACAATGTTCGTAATTCAAGTTTCCTAATGCCTAATGTCGTTTCTTGTGCCCAGTTTATCAGAGTCATATGTTCTGTTTTTTCGCTTTGAACAAAGTTTAGCTTTAAACACTTCTTATTTATAATTCACATTGCAAATGAATGTTAATTTGTTTGTAAAACAAAGTAAAACACAAACCCCGAACCTATTTTCGTTCTAAAACAAATAATTCAGCTCCTGTAAGCAGAATATACTTTTAAAAAGTGTGAAGAAAATAAATCATAAATGTGCCTCAGGCTTTATTGTAAAACAATTTATATACCACAACAAAAATATTCATACAAACATACAAAATGCATTAAAAACTAAAGTGAAAACGAAGAAAAAGCTAGCTATGTATACACAAATAAATAGATTAATAGAACGTTATACGAGTATAATTAAATATACACTCATTTACAAAAACCAAGGCTAGGGAATCAAATGAATTTGTTAGATACTCGGATTCAACTAGTAATTAAAAGATAGTCAACAAGAAAATAATACAATAACCAGAACTGCACCCATAGTCTAGAGTAAACATTGTCAGCTAAATTCTAAAATGTAAAGCAAAAAGTGTAACGTTTATTTATTTTTAAGCAGTGCCACTTACCCCGCAGTCCGCTTTGAACAACAGCTCTCAACATACGAGTAAAAATAGCAATAGCCCTAAGTATGGTAATAAAAATAAACATATTGTCACCGGGAACACTTTAGATGAGATATATGCAATTATACAGAAACAATGCATTAAAGTTAAACAAACCAAAACTGTACTTTTTTATAAGATATTTGAATGACATAAAATACAGATAACAGAAACGAAAACTATGAAAATTTATTGGTTCGTAAAAATGTTGGAAGAATTTCTTATCTTATACTTCTTCGTCAGCAGGAAATTCGTATTCGTTTACCTTATCAAATATTTATGTGAATTTGTCTTGATACCCGAATGTGAATTTGAATGTCGCATACAAATTTTAATTTAACCCTTTCCTAATTTCAAAAATATAAAGATCTCCGGGTACAAATATCTTTGAATTTTCTCTGCTATTATATTTTTATACCCTTGCATAGTGTATAATAATTTCAATCAAAAGTTTGCAACGCAGCGAAGGAGACATTTCCGACCCTATAAAGTATATATATTCTTGATCAGCATCACCAAGAGAGTCGATATAGCCATGTCCGTCCTTCCGTCCCTTAGCTCCCATTGGAACAGTACTGAAAAGTAGAACTTTGTTGTTTTTAAGATTTCTATTGTTCTTTGGTATTTGGTAATATTTAAATACTATCAAATTACGGTTTTAATTAAATTAAAATCGGACATCTATATCTTATAGCTTCCATAGGAATAATAAAAAAAAAATTCAAATGAAAAAATTTTACATATCTGATTTTCTATTTATCAGTATTATGCTTTTAGTTTTATCAGAATCGGACAACAATATCATAGCTGCGATAGAAACTATGGCAAAATGCAGCGCAAAATTGAAATAGCTTTATTGTTTTTAGTAATATAGGCATAGAAATTGAGATGTAGTAGTTTTGTAATAACTGCAAGGGTATATAAACTTCGGCTTGCTTTAAATAACCGGTGCCATTTACTAGGTCAGTCTAAAAGCTGAGGACCTAAAAAAGCTGCATTAGGAATAATAGAAAAAATTATAGCTTCGATGTTTTTATACAAATACTTTAAAATTTTGTGATTTGCAATTTTTTACGATTTTACAAATATGGCTTTAATTAAATAAAAATATTGGACTTGATGATCAACAAAGCTTCGTCTCAATTTGAGACAAGATTTCAGTAATTTTGTTTTTAATTTTGTGAAAACTAGTTGACTGTATACCATATGGGAACGAATTGTCGTTTATTAATTGTGGCCGACAATTATTCTAAAAAAAAAAACAGGTCCAAAATAAGCTTCATTTTTCTTTTGAACAAACTTACTTCAATTTCAACCCATAACAAATAAATTATAGCATTTGCGTTAATTATATAGTAATACTTTTTATTAAACGTTTAAGTTTAAAATAATAATATGCAATTAATATTTGTTAAATATACATAATAATACCTTTAATTTTAATATGCGTGTGTGCTCATTTAATGTCTTCCTCTGTATCTCAACTCCCCGAATATTTTACTTTTGCTTTCTTCGTTTATGGTTTTATAAATTTTACAGGTAAATTTAACTATTTAATAATATTTAATTTTATATGCATTATACATGTCATTTGTTTTAATAGCGCCAAAATAATATTCCATTTGCTACAACTCATGTTTCATTACGCCACATTTGTGTCCGATTTAGCTCGGAGTCAGTATAATAATTTACGTATAAAAATCATTTTACGCACTAATGTACTTGTTTCTTTAGTATAGTTATTAGTTTATTTACTCTTTTATTGATCGTATATTACACTACGCTAATAGCACATTTGAAATTCCCTTTATTCGCTATAAGTACCGTTAATCATATAATTTTATATTTCATTGTTTTGCTAAATATTTGTTGTTTATGCTGGTTTATTAAATGCTTGAAAATCATTTATTTCTTTGTTTACGGTTCAATTGGTTTCCTGATATTTTTACCTCCCACGCTGCTCGATCGTATATAATATATATGTATATATTTTGTATATGCCTGCTATAATATAATATAATTTATAAAATTGTTGTTTATCTCGCTGAGGTGGAAAATTCATTATAATTTATAAGGTTACTTGTTGTTCTGCTTCTTTTGCTGCTGTTGCGGTTGCGAATGCATGTTGCTTGTATACGTTATCTAATTCTCTCTACTTCAGTTTAGATTTATTGTTTTGTGATTAAACTTTTAAAGTATTTGTATATCCCCTGCTTGCTTTTTGAGCACATCCAGTACACAAAATACGTATATTCCTATATGCGTTTGGAAATATAATAAAATAGGAAAATAACAAAAAACGACTAAAATTTTTTCAAAATGAACGGTAAATTGTTTGTGCCATACATGAATATATTTTTGATGTTTTAATATTGAAATATTATTGCCAAGCCTCTAAATTAAAATATTTGCGACACTGACTCTTTTCAATAACCCTTATATGTATACACTCGATTTTACCATCCATCTTCGTCGTTTTGAAAAAAACGGGTTTTAGAATTTGAGGGTTGGTCCCAATTCAACGTGGCAAAACAGTTACAGCGTATTTAAACAATAATGTATTTAAACCAAAACCAAGAAATAAGCAAAATACCAAGAAAATTAAAACATTGATTTTTTAACATTAGTTTACAATTTTATTTCAAAATAATAAAGACAAAACACTCAACTTATGGGCAAACGTAATTAAACAATAATTCAAATTAAATACATAATCATAATAATTGGTAAACGGTACAAAGAAGTCAGTAACATTGTTCATTAGCAGTTGGGTTTATTCGGGTTCAACCTTATAACCAAATACGAAAAACGTCTCTAGTCTAATTATAATTATCAATGAAATAAAAACACACTGGTGACAGGAGTTGTGGTGGATAGCAATAATCAAATAAAACAAGGCAATTGGAGAGCTGGGCTATACAATAAGTTAGCTATGCATACACAATTCATTTAGTTAAAATTACAAAAATCTTCATTAAATACAGTATAATTCACAGGATCCACTGCGATCCATTTAAAATAATCTGGCTAAAAAGCAGCAAGGTATTGCAAACTTTTTTGGATATCTCCTCTCCGCTTCATTCAGCAAATTGAACTAAATTAGTTTACTAAATTAATTACTCGTTGTGGCGGTTGAGTTGTTGTTTATATTCATGTTGTTATTGGGAGGCAGCAGCTCGCCCGTTTGACTACGACTGTCCATTGACCAGTCCCAGTCCTTGCCCTTCGGTCGGAATTTGGAGGATTTGTGATGGTGCTGCTGATGGTTATAGCCGCTGTGGTGCGGTGATGATTTCTCCTTCGGCGATTTCCCAGATTTCCCCAGGAGAGGAGCAGCTACTCCTCCGTTATTATTCGGAGGGTCCAGGTTAGGTGGCCCATTGCCCGCCGCGTCAGCTGCCGTGGGTGGTGCACTGGAGTTCGAATAGGCTAGCAGCTCGTCGCAGTCATATTCCCAGTTCCTCTCGCAGAACTTCTTTTTGTAATGCTTCTCCGAACTACTCTTCGACTTGCGTTGGTATTTTAGCGGTATTCCACCCAATTCGCCGGACAGAGGGGGTCCACTAGCCAAAGGCGGCGTGGCCACACTGGCTGCACTGGGACTTGGCGTCCTTGGCAATCCAACGTCCGACAGCGGCGGCGACTCAATGGCACTGGGATCAACTGGCGACACGGTTTTCAGGGAACTACCAGCATGGAGCGAGGAGGATGCAGAGGATTTTATGCTACTATCGCTCAAGTGATCGGACAGGTGGTGCTGCTGCTGCTGGTGCTGCGCCTGCAACTGTTGCTGCTGCTGGTGGTGGTTGTTGCCGCCACCGCCGCTGATGTTGTTGAGCTGACCATGGTGGTTGTACAGGCTGTTGCTGCTGCTACCACCGCTTCCGATAGGCAGTTCCAGTTGCGAGGAGCTAGACGAGGTGGACAAAAACGTGCGGACCGCATCCGAGTTGCTGCTGCTGTGCGTAATGCCCGAATCCGGCGACGTGTTGCAACTGATAGAAGCCGGAACCGTATCGCCATCAATGCTTCGCCTGGTTTTATCCAATTCAGTGCTAGCGAAGGCCACCAGTCGATCGAAACCAGAGCTTACGCGATGCTGCCAGTGGGATTCATCGTCTGCGGCTATTACATCATCTGGGAAAATTGACCAAAAATCGGTGTTAGTTTAGTTCAATTAAAACATGTGCTAAAAGTGCGATTTTTTTTTATTCTGTTTGGGTGAGGTGAGTTTCGGTGGATTTTGAGGGAATAGTCAGTCAGAAAGGGTGATAACGATAACACTGGCGATAACGCGTCGTGTCCTAAGCTTTTTCCATATTTAATTTATCTTCTTGGTACAGTGGCGTTGCGCTTTGCGTGCAAGGGATTTGTTTTCGTGTTCTTATGTGTTTATGGGTGTTTTTTTTATGTGTTTTATGTGGTAGATGTTAAAACAAAGGTGTTACTTAATGAAAGTAAAATAAATAAATCATAGCTAAATCATAATTAAATGAAAGAAACCAATTAGGCGCAACAGAACTTACCTCATGCTCGTAAAAATTTCATAAATTTTGTTCGGGATTTTTAATTATAATTTGGATTTTGGCATATAAGTTCTGTACTTTTAGTAGGTAAATTATTAAACGCAAAAATTAAAAGTTGTCTTTTGTAGGTTTCTGATTTGAAATCTTTGTTTTTCATCAGATATATTTGTACTTTGCTTATTATTTATGGTTATTAGAAGATTGTTTCTTTCGCCCAACAACAAACATGTTTTCGGTTTTACTTTTCGTTTGGTTTGTTTGAGGAATTTTGAGGTATGCAAGTCAATCAATTCAATTCAATTCAGTTCAATGCAAGTCAATTCAATGCAATCGATCATTGGTTATTGGGGTACAGTGGGGCAACTACTACTACTATCGGCCAGAACATATCCGTTCAGATTCTGATTTCTATGGGCAGCTGATAGTTTCGTTGAGCCAGACAAAGTCGTGCGAAGGCGACGTCTGGGATCGTAATTAGTTATAGTACGTTGCGTTGCCAAATCGTTAACTGTATGGAGTAGAGCATAATAGAAGGGATAATAAAGAAGGCTGGATAAGATGGGACATAATTTGTTGGTTTTGTTTTGGTTGTTTTTGGTTTTTAGCATTACCAATTTGCTTTTGCAGTTTTGTTCAAATTTTAGTAAAATTGAAAATTAATTATGCATTATAATAACATTCCAGAAAGTTGCTTTTTTGGGTTAATTTTGAAATAAATGTTTGCTTATGGGGGTGTATGTGTGTAGTATATTTATGTATGTTTTTTACAAAGAACTTTTTAGCATTATGTGTGTGTTTGTGTTTGCGGGTGGCTCTGGGTAACATATTATATATGCAGTAGGTATAGATGATTGATTTGGCATGACGCTTAAGATGAAAGAGGAGCTAAATTACTTTCAGCATGTTGGATGTTGTTGGCTTTGATTTTGTGGTCGTTGTCTTTTTTAATATAATACAATAATTTTTGTTGAGGCATCGATAAAATATAAAAATACAGATATAGAGAAAAATTGTATGCCTTTCCTCGCGATAATCTTGAAATTGGTCTTCTGTTTTTAGTATTTCTTGCGGTTAAATACAAAAAGTACTTCAATACTTTTGGTTAAACTCTCTGATTTTCGCCGTTATTTTTACTCTCTAAAGTTTTTATTTCAATGTTAATGGCAAAAATAATAATACAAAAAGCAATTCAAAATCATAATCAAATAAAATAAAATAAAATAGTTAAAACTACTCAAATGAAATCAAGCTACAATAACAGTGTGAACTACAAGAGTGTGATGGACAAAAACCAAACTACGAAAAACACGCAACATTTAAAATGACTTCGAAAGTGAGAAATTTAGATAATTTGTTTTGAATGTTGTATTTACAAAAGGTAAAATGTCTAAATGTAGATATAATTAATGTGTGTGCTGTGTTGAAAAGCAAATCAAGCCGATTCAGAATTGGAGTTAGATCCTGAGCCAGAGCCAGAATCCGAGGATGAAAGCTCGCTATCGGAACCGCCATCTTCGGAAACCACTTCCGCCCCTCCCGACTCAGATTCCGTATCCTTTTCCCGCTCCGGCTCTTCTCGCTTCATGGTTAGATCTTCTGCCACCGTTTGGGCGGCTAGTCGAGTTTGGTATTTGTGCTGGTGAAGAATATGTGGTTCTAGCATGTAGGCTACGTGTGCTGGTGGTGGTGCTTGTTGTGGTGCATATTTGGGTGGTGATACCCTCGGCAAGCTTGTGGCTTGGTCTACGTATAGCTTACCATCGTCGGCGGCATTGGCATTGCGCTGTCCGCCTAAAGTGGGCGTGGTGCTGTGACTGTGCCCGTGGCCGTGACCAAGACCATGTCCCAGATGCGGCACTCTCAGTTGCTGCTGGGCCAATTGCAGGTGTTGCTGCTGCTGTTGCTGCGACTGATGATGGTGCAGCATTTGCTGCTGCTGTGGGTGGTGCGACAGCTGCAGAGGTCGTTCATCGCCCAACAGCGAATTGATCTCGGGACTCATTAGTAGTGGCGGTTCCCCCAGCAACTTGCCACTGTTGCTGTTGCTGCGACGTCCGCATGACGATGATGATGACGAGGGAGTGGGGGAGGGCGTGGTCGCGTCGTGAGCTGGAGGCGGCGGTAGCACTTGCCCGTTGACATACATGTGCGCGTGGTGCTGCTGAGCCGGTGCCGGCTCATAGTGGGCCAGTTTCGACGGTCGCGGCGGTTGCTGGTGCGGCGCCAGCGGAGAGCTTCGTTTTATGCCAACTAAAAGAAAAATTTATCATTTCACAAAAGTTCAATTTTTCAGATGTTTCGAAAAATAACATTTGGGCGCAATATTATAATTACTGACATTTTATATTCGCGAAAGTTTTAAAATTTTAAAGCATGATATATAAAAAAGATATTAGTGCAATAAATGTAAGCATATAAAATGCAAGCTATACGCCCCTTAATCAACTCAGGCCCCTTTAAATGCTTACGTTCGACTTTGTGCGGCGTTCCATTAAGGTTGGCACCATGGTGATGGTAGCTGTGGGCCGGCGGCGCCTGATGAGCATAGTGCGTTGCCAGGTCCAAGCCAGGAGGCGGAACTCCCGTTGAAGACGAAGAGGCGGCGGCTGCTGCACGGCGTTGACGCTCCTCGGTCTCTTCCTTGTACTTCCTAGCGCGCACATGATCCTGCAGCGATGCAGCTAGTCCTAAAGATAATTAAGATGTGTTTTGATCAAAGATAAAAAAGAACATTGTTAACTTAAAATATTTAAAACTTATTGATGCAGAGATTGGAGTAAATAACAAAGAGCTAATTGGTTTAAAGGTTCCAAGAATTATAGGGTATCTTATATTTACCTTCGAGTGGAGGATTGGCACCATTGAGACGCGGTCCCCGCAAAGAGGCTGCTCCCGCCGATCCAGCGCTCTTAGACTGCTTCTGCTCTTCGTGGAAATAGGCCTCGATGCTGCCCTTCAGCTCCGCTCGGGGCAGGGCCACCGGCTGATAGTCCCGGCCAGAACGAACAGAAGCGGAGTGGGTTGTAGGCGGTGCCGTTCCTGCATTGGCTCGAGCGCCGCCCTGTGCCTTCTGGGCATAGGCTACATGTGCCAAAGTGGCCAGATTGCTGCTTCCCCCTGCTGTTGCTCCGCCAGCACCAACACTAGGTCCTCTCTCCTGAGCATAGCTGGTGGGATGTGGTTCCTGGGACTCCTCCGAGAGCGGACGCACATGCACTCTCTCCGGTCGCTGGGCATTCAAGTTGATTAGCAGCCGATCGTTGGATCGCTCATTGAGGAAGGCCCGCTCCATGAAGTTGGCGCCACTGGTGCTCATGTTCACAGCTGCATTAATGATGCTCTGATGGGAGATCTCCAGAGTTCGCTCAATCTCCCCGTTAACCAAATCGCCAATGGTTTTGCCCGAGGTGGGAACTCCTCCTTGTCCTGAAAGCGGAGGCGTGGCCTGCGGTGTCACATGTTGACTGAGCTTTTCCTGCGACAGGTGACGACGCAGGGCCATCTTTGCTGGTGAAACCTGCGTGTAATCCGGTTGCGATGAGTTCGAGCTTGGCCTGCTTGGCGGACGGATGCGATAGCCGCTGTAATCCGAGTTGGCGGAACTTGCACGCGGCAGGAGCTCCAGTGGTTGCTGCTGTGGCTCCACAATTAATTGCTCACGGCTGCTCGAACGCTGGAGATGATTATCAGCAGGCGGTGCCTTAAACTCATTGGGATGATGTGGATGAGGATGCTGATGCTGCACATGCTGCTGCATACGATGTTGCTGATGGTGTTGCTGCTGGTGATGATGCTGTTGTTGCTCCTCCACTCGCATCTGCTGACGCTGTGCCGCATGAGCAGCTGCTGCCAACATGAGCTGCTGTTGCTGGAGTTGCTGCTGCTGCTGGACTATAAAGTGCTCATAGCTACTAGCGCTCACGGAACTGCGTCGCCTCTGGTAGCCCAGATCCGTCGGAGTTGTCTGCTGTCCAGCTGCATACAAAGCAGCCATGTGGGAGGGTGGAGGCGGTGGTGGTGGTGGTGCCTGCCTAACCGGCGAATACTTCGGTTCTTTAGCTGTTTGGTACTTGCCCGATCCCGTGGCCTTGCCCACTGCCCCGCCGTATGCTCCATAGGGAAGATTTGCTGGCGGGGGCGGCGCCGTCGATGCGGTGGCTCCTGCCCCTGGACCCGGCAGTGGAGGTGTTATGGGCGAAATAGTGGTATTGGCGTTCAGGTGCATCAAACCCTGAGTGGACACGGTGATGATGTTGTGCAGATTGTTGGGCAGCGACTGGGCTGGGTTCATTGCAGCAGGCTGTTGCTGCTTCGATCGCTTCGGCGCCGGACTGTGCAAGGGGGAGGGGGATGGTGATGAATCCACTGCCTTGCTCCGCAGCTCCTGATCCTCATTCAAGGCTGTGGTGATGATGCTCTTCAACCGATCCTCAAAGTTGGCAACCTTGGGGGACTCCTGCTTACGACTGGCCGAGAGTCCAGGTAATTCGCACTTGGGCAGCTGAGAAAGCTGCTGTTGTTGCTTGGGTGCTGGCATCAGAGTGCTATCCTTGAAGTGGTGGCCCGGTGAGGATTTAATGCTAACTGGAGCAGTGGGCGGAAGTGGTCCAGCTGCATCCAAAATCGCTTTATTCTTTCCATTCACTTGGAAAGAGGGCGCAGCTGCTCCTTGGAACTTGCCAGCTTCAATTTGGCGGCAGGTCTCCACGATTTTCTGTGCCAGCACTTCGGGATTGCTTTCCTGGATCTTGCCCACTTCTGGGACCTCCGGCCACTCCTGCGAACGAGCACGATGCTCGCGACTGCGGCGGGAGTTCTTCACGCTGTTTAATTTATTGTTTTGCGCGGTCAGAGAATTCGTAGGGATGGCGGCGGAGGAGGTAGATGAAGCCCCGGTTGACACAATCAGATTTGTCCCTTGCGCCAGAAGCGTCGCGGCAGTGGACCTTTCCTCCGCTGTCTTTTGCAGCACCGTAGTCTCCTGCTCGATGGTGGACACCTGGGCGTAAAGTTTCTTGCGTTGGCTTAGTGTATTGGCAATCTCCTTCAGCACCAACTCCTGGGCAGTGGTCTCCGAAAGTTCCGGTGCCACCTCCAGCTTCACCTTTCCATTAACTGTGCCACAGAGTTTCTGGTACTCGGCCAGATTCTTCAACTGCTTGTTGAGCAGTAGCTTTTGCTCACCTTCGTAGAAGGTGACTTCGTTCCGCATTCTACTTGCAGTGTGCTGAAGATCCTTATGTCTGCCAACAATCTCCTTCGCCTGGGCGATCAAATCGTTGGGAGAGTTCACATGGATTCCCAGCTCGTTCATTCGCACCTTTAGCAAGGCAACACTATCATCGATCAGCACCTTTATCTGCTTATCCAGCTGACTGGCTCTGTTCTTCAGCCTGGCCATGCGCTCCTGCTCTTGGGCAATCTGCTTTTGAACCTGCGGGACATAGGCACTGGACTTCATGTGCTCAATCATCGACGTGTACTGCGATCGAAAGACATCCAGGAGAATCTGCAGGGCATAAGGCGTATCCTGGGGCGCAGCTGGAATATCCAACTCCGTATGTGCCATGTTTTCCGTGAGCAGAGCTGTTAGCTGTTGATCCACGGTCCCAGGAGCTGCTGGCAACTTCTTGGTCATGGTGTCTAGGGATGTGCTTAACACCGTTTGTTTGTGCAAAGCTTCTAGACCAACAATCTTCAGGGATTTTCTACCACGTGCCCCCTTCTTCATTCGGCCTTTACGGCCAGGTCCGGCACTGGCTGCCCTTGGTTGATCCTCCTTGGAGCTAGACTCCTTGCTGGCCACCGCTGCCGCCGCCGCTGCTGCTGCAGCCTCCGCTTCCCTCTGGGCTGCTGCAGCTGATTTACTTGCGATCGCAGCTTTTCTGGTCAACTTCTTACGCTTTTTCTGCGTGGTTGCTCGTGCCTGGCGACCAACTGTTCCTCCTCCCAATCCCGTTCCATTACTACCACCATTGCTGTTGGAGTTATTGTTCTCTTCGTCATCCGACTGCGAACTCTTGCCCTTGGAACTGCACCAGTCGGACCAAACCTTCCTGGTCATCGGCCCATTTGAGGCAGAGGTGGTATTGGTGGCCGTGGTGGTGTTGCCACCATTGCCATTCGTCGCCTCGCCATCGCTCTCCGTACTGCTCTCCATGTCCAGGCTGCGTTGCTGCTGTTGTTGATGCTGCTGCTGTTGCAGTTGCTGGCGTGTTTTGGAGGCGGCTTGTTGCCCACTGGCAGCTGCTATTGCCCCGCCGCTTACATTGGCTGGCGACTGGGACTGATGCCGCTGCTGATGGGCGGTGGTAGCGGAAACTCCGTTCGACTGTTCTCGTTCCCGCTCCCGCTCCCGTTGATGGTTGTTGCTGTTGGCGTGATTGTTACTGTTTGTATGATGGTTGTTGTGATGGTTCTGGCCAACGTTCGCCTCACGCTTGGCGCGATCTCGTGTGGTCCGCACAGTACCTGTGAAACAAGGGAAACAGGAATTCATTAGTTTGATAAATAACTTTCATAATTATAAAAGGATACTTTTGTGGACCTAGATTAAAAAATAATTTCCATTTCTACGAATGTCTGGATCATATTGTTCCTTTGTCAATACAAAAAACTAACCAAATTTTAAAATTTTAAAGTAACATTGAGAAGTACAATTTATTTAAAATAAAAAAAAAAACAAATAAATCTGGCACAAAGACGAGAAAAATAGCCCAAAAGGATTAAATGGACTCTCAAAATAAAAATCCATTATAACAAAAATAAATATAATTTTAATTCATTTCATCAGTACAAAATTTTAATATTCACAATAAGGAAATAATATTTCCCTTTAAGCCAGTATAATGTGGCTTAGTTAAGTAACTTATAAACCTAAAGAACTAACTGATCTATTACATCAGTACAATAAGAAGTATTTTCTTAAAACTCATTATTAAATATCTAAACAACATTGAATTTATGATAGAAAATTATTACTAAAACACAAAAACATATTTTCATTCGAATTGTGATTAATTAGAGAAAAATCATAAGAAATTAAACGATTTTTGGACTTTGACAGTGATTGATTGATTGGGAATATGACGATAATGACTGTTTTTGTGTCTATTGTGTCTTTGTTTGATTTCCGTTTAGTGCATCCTTTATCTCTGTCGCATATCGTCCTTCTGAACTTACCGACACTCTCGTGATCGTTGCCGCCTTTCGTTTTCAGGCGCTGAAAGTATCGCTCCAATATGGTGCGATCGATCACATGCAGATAATACGAGACGGGTTTGCAGGTCCAGGAAACGGACCCCTTGAGGGGTGGAATCTCGCTGACGTGCATAATAGTGCCAATGTCGCTGAGGTTTCTGCAATAAAATAATAGGAATAAGTAAATATGTATGTCATTAGAGTTTAAAGGTTTTATACTGGCTATAATTCTCAATTGTGAGAGCCAGCATAGTACCTTAGGTTTTTAAAACCACAACCAACCTGTCCGTAATCCGAAAGTTCAGGGGACAAAACGACTTGGAGGACACGACCCGCGCTCCGTCGCGCAGATCCGCGAATCTTTCCTTGAGCTGGTGGTCCACCGTTGGGCCAAAGGCGAAGTTATTAACAAACACCAGCGTCGAGGAGGTGATCTTCTCACGATGTTCATCGACCAGAAAATCACCCTTGATCAGCTTGTACTCGCAGAAGCGCTTGCCAAACCATCCCATATACTGGCGGAAGATCACGTCCATGCGTTCCGCATATCGCGCCGGAGTGTCCGCCTTCTCGATGCCAATGCAAGTTTTCAGGGGAAAGGATCCGGCCATCTGGAGGACCACCTGGCCCACTCCCGAACCGAGATCGATGAAGGTGTCCTCTTTGCTGACGGTGACGTGCTTAAGCATCTGCTGAACCAGCTCATAGCTCGTCTCGCCATAAACCTCTGGCGAAAAGGGCTCATACTGGTTGAGTTTATCCGGGTCGAGTACGGCAGCATTGTAAACTAATTGCAAAATGTGTCTTAGAAGGCTAGGGTGAGCGAACTTGTTCAGGCGCTCGGCGGGCAGTGAAGTTCCTTTTTCCTAAAAGAAGCGAAAATAGTACATTACAACTAATTGAACAAATATGATTTCATAAAATTAGTATAAATTTCAGAAATGTTTATCAAAAAGAAAAACATATCAAGACTTTCAAACTGCATATATTTTAAAATACAATGGACGAAATTAGATAAGTTTGTATTACTTTAGCTAAAAAATATTTCTTTCTTTAAATTATTTATTCGTTTTCTCAATAAGGTAGTCTTTGAAAATAGATTCTGAAAAATACTTATGGTCAATGAAACAATTCTTAATCCCGGGTAGGAATTGTATTTCTTTCAGCCATTTTTCTTTTTTCATAATTTTTTCTTGCTGGAAATATTATGTAAGGAAACTCACCAATGCAACGATGCTGTCGACGGCTTTGTTGAAGCGATCGACCAGACCGGTCATAGTCTTATAGCAGGCAGTGTCAATTTGATGGAGATTTGTCTCCTCGAAGGCCGATGACATCGATGGCAGTTCATCGCAGACGAACTTAATAGTGTCGATAATGTCGATGCCATTATCGTGCTTATCCTGTCCGTGTCCGATCTGCAGGGGCCAGGCGAAGGAAATGACATCGGAGGAGCCAGCGGGCGAGCGCAACACCAAGTCCTTGACTTGGGGTGTGGCCATATTTTTCCGCTTTCCTTAGCCAGGCTTTTTTTTTGTTTGTCTATTTTGTTGTGTTTTTTGGTGTGCGTGGCAAGGGGCGAGATCGGTTTTTTTTTTGGGGTTTTTGGGCTCTAAAACAACGTCTGATTTTTGTTGTTTTAGTTGATTTTTTTTTGTTTGCGGTAGTGTCGTGTCGTTTGAGATTTTGATTTTTGATAATGCGTTTATGGGGGTGAGTCGATGATAGGTGCTAAACGACTTGATGATCAAAAATTGGCATAGGATTTGTGTTTCTGTATTCTATCTTGTGTAGCAGCGTTTGCGTTACGATTTACGGCTACGACTATGGTCTACGTTTATTTTAAATGGTTTCTTCTTCTGGTTGTTGTTGATGTCTTAGGAACAGTGGCAGCGTTGGGTTAATGTATTGGGCTAATAGAATAATATTATGCTTCAGCTACTCTTGACGTTGCGTTTTGTGGCGTTACGTTGCGTTAGCTCTTAACGTTACTGCTACGGCTGCTGCTGCTGCTGCTGCTCTGCTTCCTCTTCTACTTCCCTTGCGGCCGCTTCTCTTTCCGGTTCCGGTTCCTCTTCCTCTCACTTCCGCTCTTCCTTCAGCAGCAGCGTCAAAATACAAAAGTAACTGATGATAGTTGCGTAGTTTGATATTTTGCTGGATGTTAAGAAAACGATGCATTTTCTTCAGTGTGCGGGAACAACATTTTCCAAATGTTTTCCTTTCTCCCAATAATTTCTGTTTCGAATTCTTCTCGCCGCTGTTGCTGTTGCATTATAGATTCCCACCGTTCCGTTTCGATTCAGTGCGTTCCGTGGCACTCGTTCGATCCCGAACACCGTTGCGCATATTGCACGCGCATCGGCCCAGTTGTGGCAAGTGTTTCAATGGAATTAGCTGCTTTAATGCTTTACAACACACCAACACGCGCCTTTTAATATATATACAGAGTTAAAAGTGTTTTCTAGTTTGAGTCTGTAACAAGAAAGAAAAGAAGAGAAGACAATGGTAAAAACATAAATAAGCAACATAATCAAATCAAATTGTTTAAACAAAAATGCGGGATATAAAATTCGATGATTTTTATGGTTAGCGAGTATTGAAAATGCGGTTCAATGCCAAAAATTTGATGTGCTTAATAATAGGGCTGAGTTAAATATGGTAGAGATAAAATATACTTTCTATAGTTAAGCTTATTTATGTGGAAACTATAGCTATGATGAACACCTTTTAAATAAACTTTAACTATTTTAATGTGTGTTCACTGGTTATGCTCTTGACAGTTATTGAGCGAAATAACAAAGATTACTTAGTCATCAACCAATTTAGAAATATATGTATATACATTTTATGCGTCCAAGTGAAAGTAACAAGGATAAGGGCCTTGTAACCTGATAAAATAAACATATTGTACATATTGAGTATATATATATATGGTAAGAAAATTAATATTGTTTGTTTTAAATTTTGCAGTGCTCCCTTTCGCACTCTTAATTTCAGTATTAGAATTTTTATACCGAAAGAAAAAACGTAGTTTTTTTGAATCTTCGAAATTTTTAAAATGTTTTACGGTCTTAGAGGGCTATAAAATGACTTCCATAATACTGGTCACTGGATGCAATGCCTTTTACTAGCTCCTACAATATTTTATACATATTTATACTTTATTTGTAACTGCCATACATTCCCTCAATGGAGTCTTTTTCGGGCTGTCACTGAGATATTTTATCATTGATATGCAACACCTCTTTCCCAGCGGGTTTTTGCTTTATGTTTTTTGTTCAGGGTGGCTTTCGTTATATTTGTTTATTATGCTAATTAGTCATGCCAGGCACGTTTCATGGCTTTTTTCATCTACTTTTTACTTTGTATTTAATGCGATGCCATTCATTTTTGCTTCTTCTATTTTTGGTGGGCGTAAACGCAAGTCAGCGACAATGTCACTTCATTAGCATAAACAGCGTTGACGACAGCTTTTCTCGAGGTGAGTAGGGAAGAGCCGGCCACAGAAAATCGATAGCAACCCCAAGGCCTGGGGTTTGAATTAAAGAACGACTGAAAATGTCCGTCACCTGGATATTTTCTAATTAAAGCTTACTCGCCATGGGCATTTTAAATCACCGTTGAGGCGGCTTAGTCGCAGCTTAAAGCTTCAATAAACCCATAGATATCCAGTGAGGCGTTCAAATTTTTGGCTAGACAAGCGCCACATTAAATTGAATGGGTTTTTGGCCTGCACACACATTTGGACGAAAATTACATAGCGTTAGATATATGTATATTCTAGCTCCGTCTGGCAACTGCAAACAAAATTGCAGTACATTATATAAACAAGCGACGTTATGTGGCATCGCATCGTTGTTGTTTATGCATGCACGTGTGCGCATCCAACCAACCTCCCCGCTTGGAAATATGTATATATATCCCCTGTGCGTGTGTATCCGCATCTATATATATATATAGATGTATGTGCAACCATGACAGCCCCAACAGACAGCCAGACAAAAGCTCCATGTGGCATCTGTCTCCTCCCTGTTTCTCCACCCCTTTCTAGCCACTGCCCCTTTTCCGAAAACATATACCGCCCACAGGTCGCCCATTTCGCCGGTCAAGCCGACAAACAACAACATGAGCTATAACAACGGATAGCGACAGAGTCAACGACGTCAACAATTTATTGTTAATCAATAACGGGGCAATGAATTTTATTTTCAGTATTTAAGCGCCATCGTCCATTTGCAGTTTAAGAGAAATGTGCGTCTGACAATGAAAAGCTGATGGGAAAGTGATAACAACGAATTTGTAGATACTGAATAAATATAGAAATAAAGATGAGAGCTACAAAATATTCAAATATATCTCAAATATTATATTTGTCAATTTGGGAAACTTGCTGAGATACTTTAATAACTAAATTAAATGCTCTAGGGAACTTACATTTTCTGTATTAAGAAAGACCTTTTTATACCCTTGCAGAGGGTATTATAATTTTGGTCAAAAGTGTGCAACGCAGTGAAGGAGACATCTCCGACCATATAAAGTATATATATTCTTGATCAGGATCAGCTCCTGAGTTGATATAGCCATGTCCGTCTGTCCGTCTGTCTGTCCGTCTGTCTGTCCGTCTGTCTGTCCGTCTGTCTGTCTGTCAGTCTGTCTGTCCATCTGTCTGTCCGTCTGTCTGTCCGTCTGTCTGTCCGTCTGTCTGTCCGTCTGTCTGTTTCTACGCAAACTAGTCTCTCAGTTTTAAAGCTATCGAATTGAAACTTTGCACACACCCTTCTCTTCTTTGCACGCAGTATATAAGTCGGAGCGGCCGGGATCGGCCGACTATATCCTATAGCTGCCATATAACTGAACGATTGGAAATGCCATAACTTTGGTGTTTTTAAAGTTAGGAAGTTGGGATTTTTTATGAGTATTAAGAATGCATCATATGAATAATTTTGGAGAATATAATTTACAGAGTATTCTGCAAGGGTATATCAACTTCGGCTCCGGCCGAAGTTAGCTTTCCTTTCTTGTTATCTTCTCAAATAATAACCAGCTTCCACCATGATCCTAATTCTCTCCCCAATCCAATAATTTAAGATTGGTTATTTGCAAACCTTGACATCACTGCTGGGTATAAAGTCTAGACCCTGAGACGGTGGCCAAACCAAACAAGCCCATTTAACAGGCATTGAACTTTTAGTCTGCCACCAAACCTATTCGTTGTCGATTGTTGGTTATACAGTAAATTGCGGTTTGCAACAACAAATCAGAAAGTCAAAGTCATTTTCATTAGGGTAGCCCAGACTTACGGCTAAGAAGAATCCCACTCCTTGGCCTATATCATCCCTTTGGTCCTTTTGCTGCTGTCTAGCCGAACTGAAGGCATGTGTGAGCAATTTCGCATTTTTCTAATGGAACTCTATTCAAGACATCAGACATGATCCAACAAAAAATTTTAGAAAGGGCTGTGAATTTTTATTTTTTTCCTGCATCGGGGTTGAAGTATAGTAAGTACATTTTTCGAAAGGTAGAACAATCAAAAGGAATTTAATGTTAAACTATTGAAACTGTATTAATTTTTTTCCGATGCTATATATTTCATATATGTATATTTTGTGTCGTATTTTGTTTGCCCGTGGAAGCGTGACACACATTTCGCTGTTCTAGTATATACACAAACATTTACTGAGAAAAGTTGACACAATTATGAGGCCCATGGAGAGAAGATAACAGGGAGCTTAGGGGGTGGCACATATAGCCATCGGCACATCGCGATTTTAATCAACTTAAAAAGCACATACACTTTTCACTTTTTCCTCTCTTCATAAAAATAAAACAAAAGATTTCTCAAAAGATTAATAAATGTAAATGAATTCAAATGAATTTTGAAAAATAACTCGATTTTTTAGTTAACCCCTTAATGGTCAGATTTTAATTGTCATTAAAAAATATAAAAATGTATCGATTGTACAATTTTTTATTTTATTTAAATATCATCATTATAGCTTTTCTTTCTGTGTAGTAGCAGACAACGCCCACGCAAACCGCTATTATTATTATTCTTTTCTCTTTTTTTGCAATATTATTTGCGTGTGTTGTTTTCTGTGTTTGCCTTTTCTTTTTTATTTTATGACTATGCCTGCCACGCTGTCTGCCTTGTTTTCAGCTCGGCATCTCTCATTTTCTGTGTTTGCTGATATCCCAAACTAAAATAATAAAAACAAATTGCCTATAAAGTGTGAGCCGTGTACAACTGTTCTGAAAATGAATATTTCGAGCGGGAGGAGGAGGGGGGGAATTGGAGACTAGTTTTATTATCATGGCGATTGTGTGTCAAGGTCAGCAATTGTGGCAGCAATTAACAAATTAGTTATATATTCCTGCACTTAATGTTGTTATATCTGTTCGCTTACAGTTCTCCGTTTCTATATTTAACTGTGTTACTTAATCGCAAAGCGATTTTTCTTAAGTTTGTACTCTGACAATAAATGTTTTCCTATATTCATTTTCTATTACATTTGCATTTGCCTTTGCTTTTGTTTTGGTACTAATTTAATTTTTATTTTCTCTGTTCCCATGGTCACGTGTTGTAATTGTTGTTGCTGCCCGAAGGTCAAAATAGTTGACGCTTTGATTTCTCGTTAATTATTGTTCCACCAGTGCACAAATAACTAATTCATTTTACAATTTATTATTTTTGTTTAATTTTCCTTGTTGGTAGTGTTTATTTGACAAGCTTTTTTTTTAAGACTCAAAAGAATACAAAAAAATTATAAAAAATATTTGTAAAGTACACTTATATATTTTTTTTTGCTTGTATACATTTTAATAATATTGGTCATCTAGCTTATTTGTTGTTTTTCAACTGCATTGAGGTCACCCATTATCGGTATATGTATTTACGTAGTTTCATTGAATCATGAAGAATGTAATCATATTTCCAGGAACCAATTTTTTTTTATTTTCTACTGATAAGAATTTTCTATGTTGAATAAATTGTATAAAAGCACAACCTGTTGGCATGTGGAGGCCACCAAATGTTTGTTCTGTACACTGATAAGATACGAATTTTTTGACCTACTTACGAATGGTTTTTATTAACGAAAACCAAATAAATAAAATGGAAGAAAAAAAAACTTACAAGAAGTAACCATGTGACATTAACCGCAATGAAGGAAGTTGCATATTTTTCCTGCTGTTTTTGGAACAGGCTGCAAGTCAAACACCTGCCGGGTAGCGCAAGAAAAAAAAACAAAAGATCGCCAGTATATCGGTTTGGTACGTGCCAGGGGGAATTCCCCTGCTGTTTATTTTTTGAGCTCCCCTTTTAAGATCCGAACGGGAAGGTCATCAATCGCATTGCATATATATAATTTTGTGTCCTGCGGTTTTGTAAGAAGAAACAGCTGCATTTGTAAACACATGGCCAGCAGGAAAAAGAAAAAAATTCAGAGCTTTTGACTGGAGCATCCAGTACTAAC